AATGTTTTCTCATCGGAGAAAACCAAATTCAGCAGTTCACCACATTCGGCCAAGCGAAGCAACTCTTAAGCTCTTTTGAAACTATTTTCATTCTGTTGCGGTGTAAGTTCTTGCACTTTTTGGAATTTCAATGGCTTTATACCGAGCTCAATTTTCAATATTTGTGGAATGGAATATTGCGATATGTTCACCTCACAAGCCATTTTTCGGCCACTACGACGCGGGTTTCGATCAAGTCGTTTCTTTACTTTTCGAACCATTTCTGCTTATGTTGCTGTTATCTTCCGTCCATTTCCTTGACATTGGGCTACGCTACGTCAGTATCACGGTAACGAGCGATGGTACGAGACACAAAAGATTTATTCACATTTAAATGCTGGAGTGCTCTAACGATAGCTACTTGTAGTTTTCCACCCAAATCATACTATCACGCTTGAATTCCATCGCGAATAACTTTTTTTCTGGAAAATTCACACCAAAATGCTTTGGCACCCTTGTAAACAATATAATGAGCTGTCACTGGAATTATTTTAACAGCTGTCGGATGAGTGGCTTAGAAATGACAGCAGTCTGAAGATGGTTGCAGTTTTTTCATCTCACCCAGAATATGAATTCCTGGCGTTTAAGGTAGGATTAAGACTTTTGATGTCTTCAAGGACCTATAGCAGAATTTTATAACAAATAATTTTCTAGATTATTTGGACTTGATTGATTGACTTTAAAGGGAATTTTCAAACATATTTTCACAAAAGGACCAAATGGATGTGTTGACTTGTTTGAGGGTTAATTTTTTCTACCAAAATAATCGTCGTGTTTTATCTCATTCAACGGATTCGAAGTAATATTAACCCAGCCCACTCAATTGAAAGATTTTCAAAAAATTTTCAACCATTTTTTTTCAAAACAGAATCTCAAATCGAATGATTCGAAGTAATCTTAACCCGAAAAATTAAAAAAATGTCCTCAAAAACATTAAAACAATTTAGTCTTTTTTGTCAATTTTTTTTAAATCCACGATTATGTATTTGTCCTCAAAAAAAATTTGAAAAAAAAAAACAAGATATTGTCATCAAAAATATTTTCCCAGTCATCTCTCCCATTTGTATGGATTTTCTTAATTTATTCGTGACTCAATGGAAAATCTAAAACAGAGGAGTGACTCATTTGGTAAATCATTCGCTAAGTATCCAATTTCCGGCAATAAGATGCCAAACTGTTCTCAAACAAAGTGAATATGTAAGAGCATCTGTTCAATACGACATTCTAATAAAAATAAAATGAGAAAGTTATAAAATCTACGAACAAGAGAGAGAGAAAGAGAGAGAGAGAGAGAATTATAATTTAGAACTCATTAATTATGGGATTACGGTCTACTACACTGCCACTAATGACACACCTGGGGTCAATATTTGGCGCCAGCTATTAATGAGCGATTTAATTTGTAGCTGGGCATGTTATTGATTGTCGATTACCATAAAAATCCCATTAATTATGAATGAAAGAGTGCAAAAAATGTCTAAACATCTGGCCGGCCATTTCTCTTTTAGTCAGAGTTTTCATCTCCATTTTTTTAATAGCTTTTGAATGAAATTCTACAAGTTACCCGGATTATATTTCAAATTTGTGTAACAAATTTTTATTATTTACATTTTCGAATACGTATTTTTAAAATTATTTCAAATTGTGACAAGTCGACTTTCGTATACATCTATCCGACCAAGGCAGTATATCTGCCCGCACCAAAACCAAGCGTGGCACCTGTGTTGGCGGTAGCACCTGTTGAGGCGCTGCCAGCACCAAAGCTGGAGCCACCCAGACCCAAAGAGCCACTGGCACCGCCGAGGCCAAATGAACCAGCAACACCAGCACCCAAACCATGACCCAATAAACCACCGCCAGCAGCAAAACCTCCGCCAAAACCAATGCTACCAGCATTGGCATTAGCCGAGGCACTTGAACTGGCCGAGGAACTAGCCGTAGCACTTGAACTGGCCGAAGCAGTGGCACCCGCAACGGCATTCGAGCTCGCTGAAGCATTTGCTGTAGCACCAGCGGCACCCTGCGAAATTAGAGATGAAATAAATAGAAATTTAACAAAATATAACTTGGAAAAATATGATCTCATACCTTGGAGGACGCTGTGGATGATGCGCTAGCTGTGGCACTTGCACTGGAACCCACTCCAACACCCGAACCACCAAAGTATTTATTACCCGAGCCAGATCCATGACCGATTCCTAAACCAGCGCCGACACCAAAGCCAATGCCTGAGCCGCTACCTGCTCCAACTCCTGAACCATAACCGGATCCATGGCCTGAGCCAGAGCCGCTACCGGTTCCTGCTCCAGAACCATGAGCTGAACCAGAAGCACCACCTGATCCATAACCAGCGCCCGAACCGCTACCGGATCCATGACCAGAGCCAGAACCGCTACCAAATCCATATCCAGCGCCTGAACCGCTACCGGATCCAGAAGCACTGCCAGATCCATAACCAGCACCTGAGCCACTACCAGATCCAGTTCCTGCTCCGGAACCACTACCGGATCCATGACCAGAGGCAGAACCGCTACCTGATCCAGAAGCACTGCTTGATCCATAACCTGCTCCCGAACCGCTGCCAGATCCATGACCAGCACCTGAACCGCTACCAGATCCGGAACCACTGCCTGATCCATAACCAGCGCCCGAACCGCTACCGGAACCATGACCAGAGCCAGAACCGCTGGCGGATCCAATGCCAGAGCCGCTGCCTGATCCATAACCAGCGCCTGAACCGCTACCAGATCCAGTTCCTGCTCCGGAACCACTACCGGATCCATGACCAGAGGCAGAACCGCTACCTGATCCAGAAGCAGTGCCTGATCCATAACCTGCTCCTGAACCGCTGCCGGATCCATGACCAGCGCCTGAGCCGCTACCAGATCCAGAGCCACTGCCTGATCCATAACCAGCGCCCGAACCACTACCGGAACCATGACCTGAGCCAGAACCACTGCCGGATCCATGACCAGACCCGCTACCAGCTCCGGAGCCTACTCCGGAACCACTACCAAAGCCGCTACCAGATCCATAACCAGCGCCTGAACCGCTACCAGATCCAGTTCCTGCTCCGGAACCACTGCCGGATCCATGACCAGAGGCAGAACCGCTACCGGATCCAGAAGCTGTGCCTGATCCATAACCTGCTCCCGAACCGCTGCCGGATCCATGACCAGCGCCTGAGCCGCTACCGGAACCATGACCTGAGCCAGAACCACTGCCAGATCCATGACCAGAACCGCTACCAGCTCCGGAGCCTACTCCGGAACCACTACCAGAGCCGCTACCAGATCCATAACCAGCACCTGAGCCGCTACCAGATCCAGTACCTGCTCCGAAGCCACTACCGGATCCATGACCAGAGGCAGAACCGCTACCTGATCCATAACCTGCTCCCGAACCGCTGCCGGATCCATGACCAGCACCTGAACCGCTACCAGTTCCAGAACCACTACCTGATCCATAACCAGCGCCCGAACCGCTACCGGATCCATGACCAGAACCGCTACCAGCTCCAGACCCTACTCCGGAACCACTAGCAGAGCCGCTGCCTGATCCATAACCAGCGCCTGAACCGCTACCAGATCCAGTTCCTGCTCCGGAAGCACTACCGGATCCATGACCAGAGGCAGAACCGCTACCAGATCCAGAACCACTGCCTGATCCATAACCTGCTCCCGAACCGCTACCAGATCCAGAACCACTGCCTGATCCATAACCAGCGCCCGAACCGCTACCGGAACCATGACCAGAACCGCTACCATTTCCAGAGCCTACTCCGGAACCACTACCAGAGCCGCTGCCTGAACCGCTACCAGATCCAGTTCCTGTTCCTGAAGCACTACCGGATCCATGACCAGAGGCAGAACCGCTACCTGATCCAGAAGCACTGCCTGATCCATAACCTGCTCCCGAACCGCTACCAGATCCAGAACCATTGCCTGATCCATAACCAGCGCCCGAACCGCTACCGGAACCATGACCAGAGCCAGAACTGCTGCCGGATCCATGACCAGAACCACTGCCAGCTCCAGAGCCTACTCCGGAACCACTACCAAAGCCGCTACCAGATCCGTAACCAGCACCTGAGCCGCTACCAGATCCAGATCCAGTTCCTGCTCCTGAACCGCTACCTGATCCAGAAGCACTGCCTGATCCATAACCTGCTCCCGAACCACTGCCGGATCCATGACCAGTACCTGAACCGCTACCAGAGCCATGCCCAGATCCGCTACCTGATCCAGAAGCAGTGCCTGATCCATAACCAGCGCCCGAACCGCTACCAGAACCATGACCAGAGCCAGAACCGCTACCTGCTCCAGAGCCTACTCCGGAAAAACTACCAGAGCTACTGCCTGATCCATAACCAGCGCCCGAGCCACTACCGGAACCATGACCAGCACCTGAACCACTACCAGAACCAGAGCCATGACCAGATCCGGAACCACTGCCTGATCCATAACCAGAGCCAGAACCGCTACCAGCTCCAGAGCCTACTCCGGAACCACTACCAGAGCCGCTGCCTGATCCATAACCGGCGCCCGAACCACTACCGGAACCATGACCAGCACCTGAACCGCTACCAGAACCACTACCGGATCCATGACCAGCACCTGAACCGCTACCGGAACCATGGCCAGAGCCAGAACCGCTACCGGATCCATAACCAGCGCCCGAACCACTACCAGAGCCGCTACCGGAACCATGACCAGCGCCTGATCCATAACCAGCACCCGAAGCGCTACCAGAACCATAACCAGAGCCAGAACCGCTACCGGATCCATGACCAGAACCGCTACCAGATCCAACGCCTACTCCAGAACCACTAGCAGAGCCGCTGCCTGATCCATAACCAGCGCCTGAACCGCTACCAGAACCTGAACCACTGCCAGATCCATAACCAGAGCCCGAACCGCTACCGGAACCATGACCAGAGCCAGAACCGCTACCAGATCCAACGCCTACTCCAGAACCACTAGCAGAGCCGCTGCCTGATCCATAACCAGCGCCTGAACCGCTACCGGAACCATGACCAGAGCCGCTACCAGATCCCGAGCCACTGCCTGAACCATAACCAGCACCTGAGCCGCTACCAGAGCCATGGCCAGAACCAGTTCCGCTTCCAGAACCATAGCCATGACCAGATCCGGAACCATGACCAGATCCAGAACCGCTACCAGAGCCAGCACCGATGCCAACACCAACACCTACGCCGGCGCCAAAACCACTTCCACTACCGGATCCACTGCCGATGCCTACACCGGAACCATAACCGGAGCCGCTACCAGATCCATGACCATTCCCCTTTCCATTGCCGTTACCATTACCTTGGCCTTTTCCATTGCCGTTACCATTACCTTGGCCCTTTCCGTTGCCATTACCAAATCCTTGGCCTTTACCATTTCCATTGCCATTACCAAGTCCTTGGCCTTTTCCATTGCCGTTGCCATTACCTTGGCCCTTTCCATTGCCATTACCTTGACCTTTTCCATTGCCATGTTTGTCAAAATCTTTGCCATGTTCTTTGTCATGACCAAATCCATGGCCATTTCCATGATCGTAATGGCCGACACCTTTTCCATTTCCATGACTATGACCGTCACCATGACCGTGACCATGATCATGACCGTGACCACCACCAGCTAACAGGCCCAATCCAAGACCTTGGCCTTTGGCGCCCAAACCGGCACCAACACTGCCTGCCGAGACACCACCTTTTTTCGATGGACCATTACCAAGACTCAGGCCACCACCAATGCTTGCTCCAGCGCTGGCACTGCTGCTACTACTTGCACCTAATCCACCGCTAATGCCAATGCCATAGGCTGGAATAATTGAAAGATGACATTTAGGTTTAATTATTTTAAAATAAATTATTAAACATATGTATATCTGTATGTATGCACACAGACGTGTGTAGTCTCCAACCTACCATTGCAAACCGCCACACCTAAAACAATTAATCCAAATACTGCTACCACTTTCATGGTCGATAACGACTACCTGTCTGTCGGCACATGCCGGCCATCTGGCTTCTTTTATAGATTTTGCAAAGATGCTGAGAACTCGATTTCGAACATCTTTTCGGCGAGTCTGGCCAATTTGTTTTGCTTCGATGCTATCGCAAACAGTGCTGGTGGTGCAGCGCTTCGTTGGGGGACAGTACCGAAGTATTTAGAATTAAATATTAGTCAAATTCTAGTTTTGGAAAATATTATTTAAAAAACAACACCAAATCACTAGCGTCAGTCGGTAGCCGTTGCGAAGTTCCAGTTTCTATTTTGTATTTGTTTTTTTTTTTTCGAATTTATTTTCGTCTCATTACCATTTGATGAGGTAATAACTCGTTCATCCCGCTATGTTTTTATACCGATTTCTTTTAGCCGCCGGTCATATAATGTGTCAAATATAATTTAGGGTCTATTAGCTTCATTTATTTCCTTTGCGATGCCTTAGGGAATTTTTGCCAGGTGGGGAGTTTTGTGTGTGGGGTTATTTTTCAGAATTAATCAGAAATCCTATTAAGCCGAACATCATTAAAATGGTTTTTACGTCCACATAGGGATATATGGAATCGTGTTTTGAAAGTGTTTGTAAAATTCGACACGAGCGTCATTGCCAAAACGATAGAATTCTGTCCAAATCGTATTGGAGAACTAGATTTTCTGTAACACCACAAAACGTTTGTCCTAGACTCTCAAAAAATAAATGCATCCCGATAAGTGTCCATGGAAGCTAAAAACCCACACAAGTCACAAGTTAGAAAGCTTTAGTTGAAAACCCGACTTGAAACAATGGACCAATATTTCCCATTATCGTTCCTGACCTAAGTTTGATATAAATAATACCAGGGACCCAATTTGGATTTTTTCAAATTTGGTTAACATTAAGTTGGGCCGGACCGAACTTTTAATACCCTCCCCCATTAGCTAAAGAAAACAATTTTTTTTTAAACGTATCTGAATTGAAATGTGTTTCACCTAAAACTAGGCCAGTAAGACCGTTTGGATAATGCCGTCAAACTTTTTAAAAAACCATAAGGTGGCTGAGGCCGTTATATGGGGGGGCATACCAAAACGGGAACCTATATAGGTTTCGCCACCGGAGCTACAATCCATTATGACCTACAAATATCAATTTTTTTAGACAAATCCGTGGATAAATGTGGCAAAAATCATCAAAAGACCGAATATCGAGAGGTATTGTTATATGGCGGATATGCCAAACCGTGGACCGATTAACTCATTTTCAATACCTAGACACAAAAAATTTTTTGTGCCAAATGTTGAAACTCTACGTCAAATAATGTCGGCTGTATTGTGATTTCAACGAGCAGACAGACAGACAGACGAAATTACTTAAATCGACTTGGAATTTTATGCTGATCATGAATATACAGGGTGAGGTTAAAAAAAAACTGCAACAAAGTCAAACGCCATAATTTTTACATTTTTTTTAAATTTTACTGAATGAAAGCAAAAAGTGTCGGAAATAGCATCAAATTTTAGAATAAGTTTAGATTTATTGGAATTGGTCACCTCTGGCACGAATTATGACCTTAAAACGGCCAATGAAACCGTCAGACGCTGCCCGAATGTTGCTCTGCGGTATTTCGGCCCATTCCCGGCGAAGCGCTTGCTTGAGGTGATCGCCACTTTGGTATTTTTAGTGCCAACCTTGCTTTCCTAAATACTCCACCACCAATAGTCCATAATATCGGCCCGAATAGTATGGAATTTTGCACATACAACCAAATTAGGCCTGAAAATAAATGAACAATATATATGGGAGCTATAGCTATATTGTTCATCCGATTTCGATCAAATTTGGCAGATCGAAATCGGTTCAGATATAGCTATAGCTCCCATATATATTTTTCATCCGATTTGTTATTTTTGCCCTCCGCAGCCGTAATATGCACTCTGTAACAACAATATTTGGGGAAATATATCAAATGCAGCTCAGAAATACCTTTGCTAAATTTTATCGAGATCGGTTCAGATTTGGATATAGCTCGGATATATAACTTCGTCCGATTTACCTTTTATTGTGCACCAAACGTCTAATATTTGCCCAAATGGAATGGAATTTGGCATATACGACCGAATTGAGTCTAGAAGGTAGTATGCCCAATTTGGTGAAGATCGGTTCAGATATAGCTATAGATCCCATATATATTGTTCATCCGATTTGTTGCATTTGTTACCCACAGCCGTAATATGCGCTCTGTAACAACGATATCCAGGGAAATATATCAAACAGCTCAAACAGCTCAGAAATATCTTTGCCAAACTTTATAGGTTCAGATTTGGATATAGCTCCCATATATATCTTTATCTGATTTCGAATTAATTTTGCACCAAATGGGCAATACAAGTCCGAATTTAAAAGATACAAATGGTTCGGCATATTTAGTCCTTTGAATTTTAAGTTATAATTATAATCATAGGGTGTATGATTGAATTCTCCCATAAAAACTTTTAATTGTTATGTGGAGCTCAACTAAATTAGCAAAGTGGTGTAAAATCGGCCCCGCCCGACTTCAGGACTTTCTTTACTGGTTTCTTTCTGTTGAGGTGTTAGTTCTTGCACTTTTTGGAATTTCAATGATTTTACCCCGTGTTCATTTGTCAATATTTGCCGAATGGAATATTGTGATATGTCCAGCTCACGAACCATTTTTCGGTCACTGCGACGCCGGTTTCGATCAAGTCGCTTCTTTACTTTTCGAAATTTTTGCTGATTTTGCAGTTTTCTTCCGTCCAATTCCTTGACGTCGGGCTACCCTACCCAGTGTCACGGTAACGAGCAATGTTACGAGACAAAAGATCTATTCACATTTAAATGCTGGAGTACTCTAACGATAGCCACTTGTGGTCTTCCAACAAAATATAAAGAAATCACAATATCACGCCTGAATTCCATCACGAATAACTTTTTTTCTGGAAAATTCTCAGCAAAATATTTTTGTACGCTTGTGAACACTGGAATAATTTTAACAGCTGTCGGACAACTAACTTAGTAGTGACAGCAGTCTGAAATTGGTTGCAGTTTTTTCATCTCACCCTGTATATTTGGTATTGGGTGAAGAAATGAAGATAAAATTCTGAAATTTCATATTTAGATTACTGGTGGTATCTCTGTTTGATATTTGGCGGTGGTTTGGAAATGCGTCCTATATATATGGGGCTGGAATCCTAACAATTAATATTGAGATCTCTGTTACATGGACGTGGTTTTCAAATATGTACTAATTTTGAACGAAAAGTACTAAATAGCACTAAATTTCGTATTGGATGAAGGAATTGGGCTGAAATCCTGAAATTTGATATGGATGTCTCTGTTAGTGTCTGCGGTTAAGATATGAAGGTGGTGTTGGATGTGTCATATAATTGTTCGAAAAGTACAAAGTGGTACTAAATTTGGTATTGAATGAATAAATTGAGTTGAAACACTCAAATTTGATATTTGGGTCTCTGTTGGAATTTAGGATCGAGATATGGAGGCGGTTTTGAAATTGTGTTCTATAAGTTAACGAATTGCACTAAATACTACGAAATTTGGTATTAGGGAAGGGGAGAGAGCAGAAAATTTTATATTGAGATTGTTGAGAATAAAATCCGTTAAAAATTCTGTTAAAATCTTAAACATACCGAATGTAGAAGTTATACTGGGGTTTATACGAAGACGTGGCAACTTTTGCCATAAGCCATTACAATATTTAAATACGAAAACTGGAAAAAATCCGGTGAATAATGTAGATAAAATCATTAAAATACCCCATATGGGGAGGTACCGTTTTATGGGGATATACGATATCGTGGACCTATGTAGACATTTCTCCTCCAGGGGGTAAAGTACTCCGAAGGAACTGCTTTTGTGGATTTTCAGACAATTTCATTGAAATATTATTATTATTATTATTGTTATTATTATTATTATTATTGTTATTATTATTATTATTATTATTATTATTATTATTATTATTATTATTATTATTATTATTATTATTATTATTATTATTATTATTATTATTATTATTATTATTATTATTATTATTATTATTATTATTATTATTATTATTATTATTATTATTATTATTATTATTATTATTATTATTATTATTATTATTATTATTATTATTATTATTATTATTATTATTATTATTATTATTATTATTATTATTATTATTATTCTTATTATTATTATTATTATTATTATTATTATTATTATTATTATTATTATTATTATTATTATTATTATTATTATTATTATTATTATTATTATTACTAGCTGGCCCGGTCCGCGTTGCCGGCCCGTAGTTTTTGTCTATTATGCATATTTGTCAAAGCATAATTATTCACAGATATGACTGATATAAGTGTTTTAAAATACCTGTACCCATATTTAAGCCGTGGGCTTCAAAGGTGTGGATGTGCTATACAAATCTATTAAAAAGTATATATCAATCTTATCCCCATGTAAGGGATCAAATTAATTTTTAGTATGGTAAAAATCGTAGCAAAATCTTCCAGTGAAATGAGCAGTAATTTGGAATTTGCTGTATTTTGTACACCTCATAATTGAGCGCTGAATGAATTAAGAATAGCCAAAGTTAATTACTTTTTTAAGCCATTAGCACCTCAGATTGTCCATTAGCGTTCTTATAAGTCCCCCTAACCATGTCGGTCTGTTTGTCCGCCAAAAAGTGGACTTGAGGGGGTACTATTATATGGAAAAAATTCTAAAATTTGTAGATATGTTCATATTTTTGTGTAAGTTTTCACCCCCCAAAT